GCTGCACGCAGCGCACGAGGAAACAGTCACCCGAGAGCCAAAAGAGCCCCCAACCGGACATGACCGCTACCCCGGGTTGAGCCCCCCAAGGAAGATGCCTCCGGGGAACCCCCCGACGCCCTAAGCCTGTCCCTACCCCCACACCAATCACAACAGTGAAGGCGGGACCAAACTATGACCCCCACTAGGTGATGGAGCTGATCAGCCCAGATGCAATTTTATCCAGGATTAAAACAAAGTGGTACATCATGAAGTTGATGATATACATTATTTGTCATTGTCCACGCCTTCTTGTGCTTGATTTATTTTTGTGTGACCCCCACCCCCAATTTGCCAATGACTCCCCTGCTCCCCTCCACCGCCACCCCCCACCTCCCCACGATAGTATGCTAGGTCTTGGTTGAAATAGGATATCCTCCTTTGCGAAGGATGTGCTTGGATATCGTTCCAAAGCGGGAAAGCACCAGAGGCAATTAAACTGATGTGTTGGCAAGAGCGGAGGGACAAACCAGAGGAGCTCTGTGATCAAGACTATGAAAACAATTTATCTGACTGAATAAAACCGCTTGCTCCTAACATATAGATAAACACTAGTTTCCTAATATTAGCTGGGAATGGAGTGAATAAGAATTATTAGACAGGTTGAGAAATGAAATTAAATATATTAATAAATTAATCCCTAACAAGTTCGAATTATCTCTCATTTAACAGTTTCAGTTGAACTTGACAATAATGAATGTATACGTGATGATTACTGTTTTCACTTGATCTCAAATGAGTGACAATAGTGGATGCATTTATTATGGAAGCGCTTTTCGTGTTTTGAGGAACTCTCAAAGCACTGTTACAATTCCCATACCATTCACTCTCACACTTCAACCACCCACTGGTTTGGAGGGCAAAGCATACAGTTTTGTTAGCCACATCGGTCCGTGCCCTGGGAGTCCCCAGACGAAATACGAAAAGGCTGAGAACACAGCAGAGAGGAAGACCCCATAAAGAGAATAATATTAAATTTTTTTGTGAATTAATTTAATTTATCCATAAGACACATCCAAGAACAATGATTAGTTTACAGAGCGAATAGCGTCTAGTATATGCGTTTTCACACCGAATTGGGAGTGAGCTTATTTCCACACCAGGTTAATTTCTCCAGTTACTAGTCTCCTGTAAAAACTGTTATATAAGTTCCATATGTATGTAAGTTCCCTATTGTAGCTGGAGTCTAGACCCTAACCACATGCTTACTTATCCTGCAAAATAAATTTGTCAAACTCTCACCAGTTTATGTTTGGCTAGGAAACGTTGGTCCACCCCTTATGAACAACTTATTACCACACTTTACCATTGACCACCTGACTCTGCCTTAATCCCGAACAATGAACCGTCATTGTATGTAAAAAGAGCCTCCTCATGTATGCGCTTTAATGAAATTATTAATTGTCCCTTGGATTGCAATGGGCCAAACAAATTCAAGGTTTTGTGTATTCTTTTCCATATCTTTCCATTTTATCTCTCAATGTCTAACTAATTACCTATTCCTTAAGCTAGCAAATAGGATCTTAATTCTTTGTTTCGGAGGGAACAAGCCTAAAAAAGTTTGAAACAAGGAAAACTCAATGTTTAAATTATGGGATTAACATTGAAACTAGCTTACCTCCCGTCACCCACTATTTTTTGGTACTTTTCCATTGTTTGCTTTTATTAACTAGTTTACATTTAAATAGTTGTGGGTCTTTGAGCAGTCGTCAAATTATTATGTTTCCAATCAACATGTCCTAGCTCGTTGCGTGAATCCTTGAATGTGAATTGATCTTAACACAAATAATAGCTCTTTTTTTGGAATTGTTATCCACAAAAAAATGTAAGGGGCTAGGGGAGGGTCTGTGCTGACGGACGTGGGTTACTGACCTGGTAGCCTGGCTGCCCCTGGGTGGTTCTGAGGGTGCTCCATCTCCGGGCTGGGGCCCTGGCTGGGGCCCTGGCTGGGCCTTGCGGGCTAGGGTCCTGGTCAGTGTGTCGCCGGGGTTGTGGGCGAGTGGGTGTATGGGGGCCTGAGGGGCTCTTCAACTGGTGGAGGAGGCTGTTACATCTTGCAGGAGGTCTCCTCTCTCCAGGAACTCACTCTGCAGGAGGGGGAGATATAGGAGAGGTGGAGGAAGAACTCAGCCTGGGTGTCTATTGTCTTGTGTAGTCTGCAAGATGAGTGGATGACGGGGTGGGTGCAGTTTTCTCTGTGGTGGGGTCGGGTGGGCTGTCCCGGGCTCTGTGGGGCCACTGCTGAACTGCGGTCCGGATGCCCCCTTGCCCTGGTGGGTTGCAGAGTATGGGGGGTGCCTACTGGGGTCAACGGGGGAGCTGGCCCCAGGGAGGGGCCACTTGCCCCTCCCTTCCTTCCCTCCCCATCTCCAGCTGCCTCCCTCTTCCCGCTCCACCACAATCACCCACACATGCAGGGCCTTGGGGTGCAGGTGTGCCACCAGGGTGCAGGGGAGGCATCCCCCCCTCTGTCCCCTTCTGGCTGCCTGTGCCTCAATTTTATCCCACAACGTAGACATTCACATTACTCACACTCTCATAACACATACGTATAGGACCTTAGGGGTGGGCACATTATACAGCGTCCAGAGGATGGTCTGTGTATTCAAGATCCAGAAGACCATCAAGGTGTACAACCTCACCCCTGGCGCCGTTGCCCACCTCTCAATTTTAAATACACGTATACATTCAGGGCTATCAATGCACAACTATAGTTTCACTCATTGTGCAAATGTACTGTTTATAAGCACCACTGAAGGAAGAATGAAATGAACAGAATCAACCTTCTGGGATTTACTTACCTGGATTAGTATAGAGAATGTCAGAATGTGCTTCAGTGTGCTTCATTGTAACTTTGTGGATCTAGAGAAAGCAAATGATAGGGTGCCAAGACAGGAAGGGATAGCAACAATGCAGTCTTGAGATCTCTTCCCAGGTGCCTCACAGCCCAATCTTAGGCAGTGCTGCTAGTGTCAATCATTATACAAATGTACTATTTATAAGGTTAGGAAAAACTGCAGTTAGCTGTGCATTAAGTGCTCTCTTGGATAAAAAAAATATTTCTCCCACTGAAAATGCAACTTCCAGATGAACAGAATCAACTTTTTAGTAATTTCCTGTATGATTGAGCATGGATGAAGAGATTGCAAGTTGATTGCACACAGTCACAATGATTTTGGTCTTGCCCAAACATCCTCAACCATTGTTTTCCTTAGTGTACTACTCAAGTTTTTGGGCCCACACCCTCATGAAGTCTGACAGTTTGTTTAGAAACATGCATAAAAAGCCTGCTGGAAGTCATTTTGTGGGACTCTGGCAGTGTATTTCTGTTCCTCCTTATACACAAAGGAAGAGATATTGGTCCTGAAGCTGAGGTTATGCTCTAGTGTAGCTCTGTTTTACTGTGAACCTGAGCTGCACCTGTTATCAAATATACCTACATCTACTGAAACTATTTTTCAGTCTACAAGTGGCCAGATTTTTGACCTGCCCGGAGGACCAGGGAATTCGCCATGTTATTCAAAGTTTAGGAATATACTCGGCATTCTAGGTGGGCAGGGTTAGAAATCTAATAGGCCCCTGTAGGCTCAAAGATATTAACAGCAGAGCGGTTCTTTGTTCTTGAGTCACAATCCAATATATTATAGCCCATGTCATGTGCACTTGTTATAAGACAATTAACAAGACAAGTATAGTGTTGCAGCAAAAACTCAAAGTTTTGAACCTCCTCAAATTTTAAGGTTAGGGAAAAATCGTCAAAAGCTCAAAAACGGAAAGTGGACACCTAATTTTACATAACCATACACATAAATCATGTGTGTGTACTTAATCTGATGCATAATTTATTTTGAAACAGTTTTCAAATAGTTTCAAAAATTATTTACAATATGCTACTTACTACAGTAGTTAACAAAAAACTAAAAATTGTATAAAACACCACAAACATACCTATTTCTTAATGTTCTAACAACATTTTATAGCAATAAATCAAACCGTCTCAGAAAAACTGAAGCCCACACATCTGCTTCATTAAAGTGGTAAACAGAGGAAAATACAGACTGACGATAGCAGTCTTGACTCCAGATTAAAGCAAATCTCTTACTCTTTTCTTGACCAGTATGGCAGAGCACTGCAGAGGGACACCCATCATCTTGTGTGGATTCCATGTCACTGAACATGCTCTGAAAATGAAACAAAAAACAAACACAAAAGAAAACAAAAATATGCGGCACATAGTTGTGGTAGATATAAAACTCACAAGGGTAGTAATTTTTAGTATTATACTGCAATGTGTATGGTTCATATTAGTCGTTTTTATTTTTCCTCTCCGTCATGTCTGTTCCCATGTACTATGCAGCAGGTGGAGGTGTGCATTCTTGATCAGGACTTAGTGGCCCAACCAACCTGAGGTGTATTCCAAGCAGGTTAAACTAACAACTGGTTTTCTGTTCCAGAAAAATGGTTAACTTAACCAGTAAATGAGGTAACGTAAAGCAGTTTCAGTGAATCTACCCAGGTACCAGTAACTCAGGACCAGAACTACTCGAACGTAGCAGACTCCATAATGGATCAGCAAACTGGGTCTGTGTCTGGGTCCACTTGCACAACAGGACAGATCTAAAACCGATTCTGGATGAGGCTAAGCTGACTCTAATTCAACTGTGTCATTTCATTCCATCATCCAATCCAGATCTGTTCTGGATCCATTTAGAATGGCTTATTTGTCCCATACCCATGGTATGTGAGCTCCACTGATGATGGCTTTCTTTGTGTATTCGCACATGTGCTCTGCATGGACAAACTCATTGAACTAATTCAATGAGTTGACTGAGTTCTGATCAGGTCTTCTGGAACAGAAAACTCAGAGTTGCCGATCTATGAGTTAATCAACTTAGAGTTTGTGTTTGTGTTGCGAATGTCTCTTGGAATAGGCCTCTACTCAAGGTTGTTGTTACTGTAATTTGATGTTGTTTTTGTTTGTTTGTTGTTGTTTTTTCTTCTGAGATCTTTTCCCCACAGCTGCAACTGCCCAAAAATAATTGACTAGTTCTCTTCAATTACAAACTGTGTGTAAACCATCTTGGTGCCAAAACCATCTTGGTACTTGTGAGACTTAACCAGAGGTGTGCGCATCAGAGCAGATGCCACTGGATAAAACATAAAAATATGTAGGAATTTTTCTTGGCCTGGTCTTTTTATAGCATATAGCTCCCTTGAAAATATGCTACTGTAGATCAAAAACTGAAGAAAACAATGAATCAACATATGGACATTACCTGTGCAAAGATCAATGCTGCTGCGGTGAAGCAATCTGGTATTCAATAGCAAAAATTAGGCTTTCTTGTCAGAGGTCATTTTTGGGGGGAAAAAGAAAACAAGTGGCCAAAAATACTATACACAATGGTAGACTGGTGTGTAATAAGCAAACAAAAAAGGCAGAATAGTGGGTCGACCTTACAATAGAGAGAGAAAATAAAAAAAATTTGTAAACTGGTATCGAAGTACACTTCCTGCACAGAGATTCTGACGTTTCTATGGATACCACACATGTCTATATTTAAATAACAGATTTGGCGGTACAGCCAATTAAACCAGATGTTCTCCCTTTCACCCCCGGCCCAGGGAGGCATTGGAAAAGATGTGTTTGCTTAAATTTGACCTTCGAATGTTGTGGTAAGATTGCACTGTTGTGTCAGTGGATACATGTGAAAAACATATGAAGAAGATCTTCCAATAGGATGTAAATTGTCACAAGCTTGTTGAATCTGCTAATATTTTTTTTTTCATTTTGAAGTTTGACATTAGATACACAACATTACCTTTACCAGTAAATTTCTTTTCTCAGTTTGTGCAATGCACACACACTGAGTTTACCTTCAATTAAATTTTGGGAGGGCCTCAAAGAGAGGCTCAGTGATAAACACAGATGGCTTTTCCATCTGGCAGGACATTTAATAAAGTAGGGGTTTCATTGTGTGTTAGATAATAAAAAAAATGATGCACTTCAAACGTTCTGTACTAACACGATGCAATATAACATAAATGCTTCCTGTGGTCAAGCTGGATGGTGGGTATGTTATTTTCTTTTCAGTTCAACTAATCATTATGTTCAGTGTCATTTGAAACCTTGCTTTGCTTTATTGTTGAGCTGGCTCTCAAATTGCTTGTTGGCTCTTAATAGTGCTGTTCCAGTGGAAATATGCTGTGTGAACTGACTGGGAATATTTGGATAGTTACCGTTCAATGCCCTCCAATTTCATTCTGTGTCTGTCTGACATCAGCAGGCCTCCACCCCAAGCTGCCTGGAGGGACAGAATCAAAGAACACAGGCACTTTAGATAGACCATCTGTGTTTCTACAAATGTGTTTCTAGAATTTATTACACACCCCTTAAAAATTGACTATTTAGATTTGGGAGCAGGAAGAGTAAATTACAGGACTGTGGACTACCAAATATTAGGTCCTTGTTAGTAAATGATCAACATATTGATTCAGTCTTCCTTACAAAATTGGTTATGGCAAGATGAATATGAGTCAAATGTGACTCTAAGTCGCATTTGGATGCTTTATCAGATAAATGTTGTTGTGAATTGGGGCTATGTAAATAAAATTTATTTAAATTGCCTCAAAAAGTACTTTAAATGTTATAAGTAGCAGTAATTTGAAAACTTGCACAACATCAAATTTATTTGCATGATGCAAGTGGTGTGCACACAACACTTCCTGATTTTAGATTTCAGATTCTCTTTTCTCAAACACACAAAACGGAAAATAAAACTGGTGCATGAAAGACTCAACTCAAATGTAATAATATACAATTATGCACAAAGAGAGACTGGTTTGAGTGTATATTGTATTACTCCTGAAGTAGGTGCATAAATTATTTACATAGTCCTACCATGATACTGAAGACAAAAAGCAAGTATGCGCACTGTAATCCATTTGATTTTAGGAAAACATTTTGGTGTAGGTCAAAGGTTACACTGTAAATAATGTCCTCTGTGTGAAAGCAGGGAGAGGTGTAGAGAGCACTTACATCAACGTGCATCCAGAGTGTGTGTGTGTGGCAGATGTCTGCAATGGCATTAAGGGGATCAAAGGCTCCATACACAGTAGTTCCTGCTGTGGCGTTCACATAGAAAGGAACCAAACCCTAGAGAGAGGCAGGGATTTGTACTGACAAGGATTGTTTTTACTGATGTATTTTTTAAAAAAACCCTTTCATTCATACCTTTTCTTTAGCTGTGGCAATGGAAGTCTCAAGTGCTGCAGGAATAATTTTCCCTCTTAAACAAAAAGTGTATACATGTTCAGTAAATAGAAATGTGCTATTCCCTTTCATTAATCTATAACACATGAAAATCAAATCTATTTATGCCAAATATATGCAATATATTGTAATATAGTGGATCAGAATCAGAGGAAATTATGTAATATAATGTATGACACACATCACTATAAAAATATTTTTATTGTCTTTTGTTTTTTAATATCTATGAAACATAATATCAAATATCTTCTCCTATTGGAACAATTTTAGCAAAACATATAAATGAATACAGACAAACTGGGACAGGTGAGCAAACATGTTTGATTAGGCCGTGTTAATGTCAGGTGTGGTTAGCATGCACCTTACTCACCTTTCATCACATTTCACCACAACCACATTCTCAGTGCCTATGCCCAGCACAGCTGCAGATTTCTTTATTGAATAATGACTCTGAATAGAAGGAGAGACAGCCTTTCATCTGTATTTGTCTCACTTCAATATCAAGAAAAAGACTTAACCCTTTGATTCAACTGAAAGAAGTGCTCATAGTGATTCCATTAAGGCATTTGCAGGTGCTCGTTTATATTTATTATTCTGTAATTGTGTTTCACTCGTGCTGCACACAAGCCATTTTAGGATATTGCACTGACAAAAACAGCCAACCATAAACAGCACAGTGCAAAGGTTTTGAGCCAGTGCCACCCTTCTTTTTCATTGGCCTAGTTATGTATTTTCACTTTGCTTCCAAAGAACCAAACTTTCCTGAAATTCTTAAAAGAGCTCATCTTGAGCAGCTCAGCTTTCTGAGAGATTTTCAAAGTTTTAGCTAGTGCATCACACTACTTGATGCTGGCATATGTACCATTCAAGCCCAAACAGGGCACCTAGTTCAGCAGATGAACCAAGAAGCCACCTTCTTGACAGCCAGTCTGCATGTTTAACATAACAATAATCTCAAATGATAACAGCATATCTGGAAACACACAATGGGAAGACTATCAGTGATGAGCAGGCTTCCCAATAACCCTGATCTTATTTTTGAGGCAGTTTGGGATCATCTTGACAGAGAACAGAACAAAAGATGGAGAATATTAAAAGTAGACCTTTGAATGGATTTCTGAAGACTACTTAAAGACATCTGAAGAATGCCTTCCTGTTCAGGCTGTGCTGAAGAATAAAGGTACTCATACAAAATAGTGATATTCTTTTTTAGTTTTTAGAATTGTAGAAACTCTGGTTTTTCATATATCATTTTACATATATATTTCCCTTTATGTTTACACATGCTTCACTGAACCTATTTACAACTTCCATCCATTCGCTACCGCTTATCCTTTTCAGGGTCGCGGGGGGCGCTGGTGCCAATCCCAGCTGTCATAGGGCGAGAGGCGGGGTACACCCTGGACAGGTCGCCAGTCTGTCACAGGGCTAACACATAGGGACAGACAACCATTCATACTCACATTCACACCTAGTGGCAATTTGGATTATCCAATTAACCTATCCCCACAAACTGCATGTCTTTGGACGGTGGGAGGAAGCCGGAGTACCCGGAGGGAACCCACGCAGACACGGGGAGAACATGCAAACTCCACACAGAAAGACCCCGGCCTGATGTTGGAATTGAACTCAGGACCTTCTTGCTGTGCGGCAACAGTGCTAACCACCGTGCCACCGTGCTGCCCTCCTATTTACAACTTTCCTAGCAAAATACAAAGAAATGGGGGGGGTGGCTTGAAACTTGGATTGTAATTGGACTGAAGTACTGTAACTTCTTTTGAAGGTCTTATTAAACGCAAAAATGAACATCAGACATGTTAGACCAGAAACAATGCAAGAAGTCAAAATAATGCCACTTTCATGTGGAGCTGCAGGGCTTATGCCCATAGATTGAAAGAGTGTGCGAGTTATGATTACATGTTCTGACGTGAACATGGCCAGCCGAGGCAGAGCTCCCATCCCTCTGGTCTTCACCTCTGGGTAGAAGTGATACCTGGCCAAGAGGATGCTGTACAGATTGGATATCGTGCCTCCTATAGAAAATAGAATGCAAGTAGAAAGTTAGTCCATTGTATACCTTTCTTTAACTACTGATACTCTAAACTCAATTTACTCAATCTAAACTCAAAGTCAAATCAATTTTGTACTGATTTGTAAAGAGTGTAAATCATGGTGTGCATGCATTTTGACAAAATCCATGGCAGTAAAAATTCCCCTTAGTGCATAAAATGACCATAATATATAAAAAAAATAGCTTTATCATTCATAGAGGTCAAAGGTTCAGGTTTTTTCTTTAATTAGTCAGTTATGCATATCTAAAGGTGTTTACTTTGAACTTCTTGAAGCAGATTTTTGTCATATCTTTTTTTACCTGGACAGAAGAGTCCGTCACCCTCATCATCAGCCCACCCCACAATGCTTCGCATTTTTTTCAGCAGAGCCTCCTCAATGAGGAGGAAAACAGGCGAAACTTCATATGTGAACCTGGTAAAGAAATATACATTCTAGAATTACATAGAAATGTAATTCTATTACAAATAAAGCCTGTAAAACAAGCAGCATCTCCCAGCCAGTTTTAGATAGCTGCACATTCTCATATAAAACTCTGTGAACTCCGCTAACTGGTTTACAGCCTGTGGTTTTCTGAACAAAAGAGATTCATGCACATGATAATATTTAATCATTCTATGTCTATGTCTTAATAAATAATAATTGAAGAAAGAAGTGTTTTACTGGTGATTCCTCAAGGTGGATACACGAATCCAACAGCACCCTGACTGCCATTAGGTATCAGAAAGAAATCCTTGGATTGTCAAAGCCTACGTTGGTGCAGTGGGTCCTGGGTTCCTCATGGTGCACAACAATGCCTCATATGCCTTCTGTGGCAAGAGTATGCATTTTCAAAGTGTTCATCCATTTTTTTGGACTATACATACATTAATATGTAAGTTTACACCAGGGGTCGGCAACCCTAGGCACGCATGCCACAGCTGGCACGCGAAGGGTTAATTGATGGCACGACCATAGCTGGACTGGCCATCGGGCATACCGGGCATTTGCTCGGTGGCCCGGTGACTTTTTTTTTTCTTTGTAACGGTATAAACAATGAAAGGTGGTGGATTGACCAGATGCTGGTCAGTGTGTAAAAATAACTCAGTTGTTTGGTGGTGGCTATGGCGG